ATTTAGGAGCCGGGGTCGGATTCATATATAGTAATAATAAGTTCCCGACCAAACTACTGAGAGATCGTAAATTCTGCCAGAACGTGTACCTGCTTAACCATTCGACAGAATTACAAATACCCATTGTCCTTTATATCCCCTAAATATTTTTGAACATATTCTTATTTTAATAATGGGTTATTAAATATTGTTATTCATCAATATTTAATTTATATATTTCATTATTGTAATACCAATATTTAAAATATTGATTAAATATTAAATCTATAAATTCCATATTATATCAATTAATCATCGATCATTATATTTAATATAATAGAAATTTAATTCAATTCCATCGAAAAATATGAAATTAATCTATTCGAATAAAATTATAGAAATAAAAAAATATATATTAAATTATTAATCAAAAAATAATCGATTATAAATCCTATTTCGATAATAAATGCAAAAATAAAAAATAGAAAAAATAATAAAGAAAAAACACTATTAAAATATAGAAATATAATACAATATATATTTACTATATTTATATGTTTAAATATTTTCAGCCTTCGGCATGCCGCCGGCCACCAGCTCGAACCCGCATTGGCAAGCAACCTAATGATGCTTATTAACAATCAAGCCGTAGATTGAAACCAACCGGGGCAGGCTGTCGAAACATCCGCGCGGAGAAACAAACCGTAGATTGAAACCAACCGTAGATTAAACCAATGGAAAACAACACAAATCAGACGAAGCAAGACAATCCATAAAACCGGTATTTGAAAATGAGTCTTCTTCCAAACTACTTAGCCTTTTGCAGATTTTCCTTATCAGATCCTTTTTCGACCGTCTTGAGGAATTGCGAGTCGCACAAGATATTCTTTTTCACATATAGAAGGCTTCAAAGCGACCGAAGAATTTCTAGATCTGGCACGATTTGTCGTTTTTTCTCCAAATCGTTTGAAATGAAAGAGCCAGAATGACATCGATCAACAATACCCTACTCAATCAGACTTATGGGTGCATTGGAGTTGCACATTTGGCTGGGTAAGTTTATTCATGTTTATTTCAAGGTTGTTTGACCATGAAATGGAACGAATCCGAATCAGAGGTTGTCTATTCTGATCCAGCGATCCGAACCGGCATATCTCAGTCGAATCACCTAAGAGGAACCAATTGAAACCAATACAAGCAATGCGAACCAAGACGACCCACAAAATATAACCTTGAAAACGATTCTTCTTCCAAACTACTTGGCCGTTTACACGTTTTCCTTTTCAAATCTTTTTTTCGACCGTCTCGAGGGAGTGCGACACGCACCAGATATTCTTTTTCCCACCCAGAAGGCTTCAAAGCGACCGAAGAATTTCTAGATCTGGCACGATTTGGCGTGTTTTTCTCCAAATCGTTTGAAATGAAAGAGCCAGAATGACATCGAACAACAATACCCTACTCAATCAGACTTATGGGTGCATTGGAGTTGCACATTTTGCTGGCAGAATTTGGTGATGTTAATTTCAAGCGAAGTCCTTTTACAATGAAATGGAACGAATCCGAATCAGAGGTTGTCTATTCTGATCCAGCGATCCAGCGATCGACATGTCTCAGTCCAACGGTTGTCTATTCTAATCCAGCGATCGACATGTCTCAGTCCAATCATCTTAGACGTAGAGAGGGGGGGGGGGGCGTCAGGCTGTCGAAAAATCCGCGCGGAGATACAAACCGTAGATTAAAACCAACACAAGCAATACTAACCAAAACAATCCACAAAACACGCCGGCAGGCCGGCGGATTACCAATACAAAATCCAAACATATATTATTCATTCATTCATCTGCCGGCGAGCGGGTCGTCTCGCCCGTATTGGAAAATGGATGCTTCTAGAAACATCATTGGCCATCGAGATGCATCGAATCTATTGCTAATCGAAATGCTTGGAAATCAGGGTAGCCACGTTAGTCGGCTGTAACGGAGGCAACGAAAGCAACGGACGTCGAAACTCCATTCTAGTCTTTAATCATAGCGCAAGCCACAACATGTAGATCTCCTTATAAAAGGAAAGATTCCGGACCAACCGGCCAGGTAGACGATAAACATATATTATACATAAATATAAATATCAAAAAAATAGTTTATTCAAGAATCAATTATATTAAAATATATATAAATAACAAGAACAAAAATTTATTCTAATCGTTTAATTATAAACCGCCTGAAAAAAAAAAAAAAAAAAAAAAAAAAAAATCAAATTTAATCGAAACCTTACAAAACCGATAGGAGCCAATTCCATACCGATATCCTTTATTAATTAAGAATAATTTGTCGTCTGCAATTAAATATATTTTTGAAATCGACAGGGATTATCCCAAAATATGTTCCGTATTAGGGATAATTGAGGCGACGGAGGTAGACGAAAGGTAAAAATTAGAAGATTTTAAATCGGAACAAGCAATCAACAACAACAACAAACCAGCAAAGCAACAACAACAAAGCAAAAAGCTAGCGCCAACACCATCACCAATAAATGAGCAGCAACAGCGAGCGGCGGCTGCGGCAACAACGATAACAGCGGCAGCAAAAGCAAAGCAGTAACTATAATACAATAAAGCAGAAAATAATATTTAAAAAGAAGAAAACACACGAAAAGCAGGAACAAAAATGCAATGTTCGACATAAAAATTTATCCTCTCGGAAACGACCTTTCGTAAATATAATTTCATATGCATTCTAAATATTCAAATATATGCTTTCAAAAATATTATATATTAAAAAAACAATTTTGCCCCATGGTTCAAATTATCGATAAACATTAAATCGGAACATCATACGATTAAATTATCCTAAAATCATAAAAGGCTTTACAAAACAAATTCTAAGTATATATCCCCTCGCGAAACACCTTTCGTGTTTAGAATTTTATATGTATTCTTTCTAATTTCAATTATCCTAATATCATAAGAGGCTCTCGAGGAAAGAATTGAATTTAGAGGGGAGGGGGTTGGTATTAAAAAATCAATTCCCCGGGGGGCGCGGGGAGGGGTCTGTATTGAGAAATCAATTCGAAGGGAGGGGGGGATTGAATTGAATTATCAATTATTAGACCCGGACGCGCCGACACTTGCTTCGCAAGACAATCTCTAGGTACCCCCGTAAATAGCAATAGCAGTGACAAGAGCAGCGAAGCACCAAAATTCACACAAGTTTGGCCTCCACAACCCTTGGTTTCGCTCAATTTCGAGAAGTTGAAATTGACAAAGGATGGAGACTTGTCATGGTCGAAGGCAAAGAAAGCAAGCACCAACAGCGCCCGCCCTGAAAGCCCCAACACAGGCAATGCACAACCACCCACCCCAGCAACAGCAGCAGCCTTCAAGACTCAAGCAACAACGGGCAGGATCAGCAGCAGCAACACCAGCAACCAGCAGCACCAACAGCAGCAGCAGCAGCAACCAACAACCAGCAACCAGCAGTAGCAACCAGCAGCAGCAACCAGCAGCAGCAACCAGCAGCAGCAGCAGCAAGCAGCAGCAACAACCACGAACCAGCAGCAGCAGCAGCAGCAGCAGCAACCAGCGGCAACGAGCAGCAGCAGTAGCAGCAACAAGCAACCAGCGGCAACGAGCAGTAGCAATAGCACCAATAGCAGCAAGCAGCAACAGCACCAGCGACAGCAGCAAGCAACAAGCAGCACAGCAGCAAGCAGCACAGGAAGGAGCAAGCAGCACAGCAAGCAGCAAGCAGTACAGCAAGCAGCAACCAGCAACAAGCAGCAGCAGCAGCCAGCAATCAATAGACCCCACCAAAATCAGGAGCAGGAGCACTCCACCACCCCCAATATCATATTGCTAAAGCAAAGAGAACTCAGGTAGCCAACACTACCTTTCGTGATTAAGAAATTTTGCCCGCTGTAGCTTTTTCAGCCATGTTCAGTAAGTTGCTACAACCCTTCTGGTGGGACAATCTTCATTGTTGTGGTAGATATGGTTGCCCAAGGCCCTGGTCTTCCTTCTGGGTTTTCTACTTGGATTGCTGCCCCCATTATTGCCAGCATTTGGCTTTTGCTATTGGTTCATGAGCCGCGGCATTTGGCTTTTGTCATTGGCTCATTACCCGTGGCGTCTTCATACTTCTGCCATGTTCAAATCTCAGAACAAGGTACTAACATTGAAAGCAGTGGTCTCGGGAAATCATAGCACTCGTCTCAGCAAGCGACTGGTACGGGCCATATTCTATAAATTGGTGTATATATATATGTGTGTGTGTGTATATATATATGTGTGTGTGTGTGCGTGTGCCACCTCCTGTTCCCCACTAGTTTGGCCACATGAATCAATCTCCAAAGACTTCTTTTTTTCTTTAACCTACCTTGTACAGTCATGCAGGGGGCACGGCGAAAGTTCACCTAGCCGTGAGATACTGGGCGCAGTATCTTGTACCTGCAACCATTTTAAGCTTTGCCGGCTTTCAACTGTTGAACAAGCTGTGACTCCTGTCTTTCCTAAAGTGCTAATGCGTGATGTTCAACACTTAAGGTCTCTGACCCTTCGCCTGGCGGTTCTTGCGAGTCAAGGTCTAATGTAACCAGTAACTATCTCACGGGACGTTCTAAACTGATATAGCTCTTGCGAGCATGGATCTAAGTGTGTACATAGTCAGATAACTCTTTCAACCATCCATGTTCACATGTCAATAGACTGCCTTTGGACTAGCCATGTGTACTCTCGGGTACTGATGATGCCAGTGTGATGCAATACCTCCGACACCTTGCATCTTTTGCATCACCAAGCCACCAAAAATCACCTCCTTGGAAAAGTAAAAACACCAGCAGGCTAACATGGTTTACGTCACTTTTTCCCTGTCTCCCCGCCACACCCCCAAAAGAACTTCGTTCGCAGCACTAACTTCAGCTTGGCCTATCGGATTATCGGCTGGCTTTCGTAATTGTTCAAGATTCAGTAATGTTTTTGAAAAATTCAATGATTGAGATAACTATTACAGTAATACAACATATAACTTTATTGGATGCATATCCAATAAATTCAATGTCCGTCACGAGTTGCCGATTTGACAATCCACATGTATGAATTATGTCGTTTTGACCGTGCACAGGCTAAGCAAGCTTTATGCTTTATGCCAAATACAAAAAGTTGAGAAAAGATGCAAATGTAAAAGGGTGGTTGCCCATTTGGTGACACATTGCATCCAGAATAGTGTCGGCATCCTTCAGGTTGGTAACTCAATGCTGGTGGAAATGCAAGTTTGTTCTGGTAAATAGACATCCCAAATGGAAAAAGCGGCACGCCCAAAAAAGGAACGGGACAGCTACAGGGAAAATGCTCAATCAAACAAGCAGGAAAATGCTCAATCAAACAAGCACAGTAAAGAGCCTTCTCCGCCACACCAATGTAGACCAGTACCTGACTCTCGGCTCGTCTCTTGAAGCAAGACTTCAACTTGCTAAGTAGGATGAAAGGCAATCAGCTCACATGTAATGACGCGTCCACATGACAGCCAGGCCACATCCACAAGCATGTCAAACGACAGCATAAAATCCTCTTTGTCTCTGCATCCTCCTGGAGTACATTCCAACTTAAACTTCCAGCTCCCACCACCATGGGTTTTGGTTTGAGGCAAGACTACATCTGCTCATTCCTTCACCGCACACCAGGTCATCTGGCGCTAGTGACGCAACCAGAATGTCTGAGACCTCTGAGTTTACAAAAGGTAACCTGTGACCCAGATGTTTTGATCCCACAGTCTCAAACCGTGCACCATTGTGACCGCCAAGCTGCAGGTGAACTCCCCTGAAAGAAATGTGAAACGGAGCCGGGCTGACTGCTTGCAAGCTGCTAAACACCTTCTCCACTTGATGCCGACCTTGACGGTGCACATTCAAGAACCTGAGGGCTGTCCAAGGTCAGCACCGGAGAAACTCACTCGCACATGTGTCAGTACAACTCCAAAGGGCTGGTGATCTCGCAGCTGCAAAGCAGATGCCCGAAGTCCAGGCTCCTGAAACTGGTCATCACGAAATCAGAGCAATGGCCGAGGCAACTTTGGACAGGAACTGCGTCCAAAGCATTCGGTAGTGTTTGTCAATCCTTTGTCAGGATCGGGTCCAGGAAGAGCTCAAGCTGATGGTCCAGCTTGCAGGCTCCAGGGGTAGCAGCAAATAGGCTGTGAAGATCCAAAGGTTCTGATGAGGAAAGCCATCCTGAGCAGGACGATGACTTGCAACTGGCAATGAGACTGAGACACCAAACTTCTGCAATTATATAAGTTACTATATCTGTTTAATGCCACAGATATAATGCCACATATGCCATAACCCCCGCCGAGCTTGCCATCAGGTTGCGGAACCATCCCTCATTCAAAACGGCCTCTTCTTCAAACAAGGCAGCCAAATCAAGAGACGCCTCGCAACATTTCGAGACCCTCTCTTGCAAGGTCGGCCAAGTTCAGAGCACGGGCTGAGCACAGGTTTAAAAAGTAGAACAGCACTTTGCACTCACTGCTCTGTCCAAAAGCCCTCCCACAAACACGGCACCTTCATCTCATCGAAGCAGCACCCTTCCGCAAGGACATCCAACAGAACAACCTTGAGCAACTCAAACCAAAACAACAAAAAGCTACTAGGAACAAAGGGCATCGCTAATAGAAGCAAGGACGCTACTAGGGGCTCGGCCTTCCTACTAGGAACAAGAAGCTACTAGGAGCAAAAGCGACATGGACCCCAACAGGTCATTTCTTAGTCACGCATGGCAAGGATCGCTGGTGCGAAAAAAATCCAACCACGAGAAGCGAGGATACTGAGAACATCCGCTTTGCCCTACTTTTTGCTTGCTTCAACATTGCTCAACCACAACTGGGTCTGGCTGGCTGGTGAAGTGCTCCCGACGGGCACACTCTCATTTGGCAAGTGTGTGTTGGGGATAGGCAAGTGTGCTCGGCCATGATTCGCTCTGATCTTGCTTGCAGCGTGGCGAGGTCACCAAGCATTGAAGAACCACAGATTTTGTAAAAAGCTCGGTGAACCAAGAATGCAAGAATTCAATTTTGTTGTGCAAGAATGCACACATCGTGTTCTAAGATGCTTCGAGGTCACGAGTCACTTGCCAGCTTAGTCAGCTGCTTTCCACCAATCGCTAAAGAACAAAAAAGATCAAAAAAGCAAGAACTGTTTGGGGATCTGAGATGCAACAAAGAAGGAAGTCCTTACCAAATCTCTTAACATTAGAAGGGTTCAAGTCCCTTTCCATCCTCTTTCTTCGATTTCTTCCACGCCATGGAGACTTACTGGAGTTGTCTATCCACTCTAGCAGGTCTTTCGTAAGAATCCCGGCCTGCATGCCTGTCATGCCTCCCAGGAGTCTAACCTTATCCCTTTGGCGCCATACGAAATGAATGAAGAAAGAATCGAAGAATATCCCTTCAAAGAATGGGTGTCCGGGTGCGGGGCCCATGTCGCAGCTTCATTCCCAGCTCGACATGCGTGTTGGAAGCTCAATGGTTCAGCCTTGCACATCCTACCATGCAATAGAGTCCATTCAAGGCCTTTTTGCGGTTTGTGCCATGGACACCCATGTTGGAATTGAGGTATCAGCCCACGTTGTTTTCCGAGGAAGGGTCCAGCAAAAAGGGGCAATCCCAGACCCAACGCTGTAGTGTAAAGCAAAAACTCTTGACTCTTGATGTTCTGTTCAAATACGACTTACAGTAATTCAGAAGAGCAACTCCAGCCGCCCAAATGTCCATTGTTGGATGGGGCGGCACAAGACCAGTGGCTGTGGGGTCTGCTCTGCACAACACAGCTTGTGCAAGTTCTGGGCTTGCATACAGTGGGGTGATGTCTGCAATTGACACACTGCCATCAGCCAGGGACATGCAACTCTCCAAATCTATCAGCTTCCATTGGTGGCCGAAGCGCATGATGTTTTGCGGCTTGACATCCAAGTGCACCAAACCCCGCACATGAAGGCAATGCAAGGCAGCAAACACCGATCGCGCAATGTCGCAAAAATCGAAATGCCACATCTGGTGGCTGTCAGTTCGTCGTGCTGTTTGGTCAGATCTTGGTCTTCGCAGCCATTGGTCTAATCTGCTGTGGCCTAATTCAAGGATTGTGTAGAAATGACCATTTGGTGCTGGACCAGGAACTCCACCAGAGTTTGAGTAGGCCAGCAAATTGACAATAAATTTCTGCGCGTCAGTCATGTCAGGCTGAGACAGCTGGATTTCCCGTTGCCCAAGAGCTTTCAAGGCCTTCACCTCCTTGAGGAAACGATGCCGCTGAACCCGCTCCTCGACATCCCGTCGTACTTGTGAATTGAAGGTCTTCACCGCGACTTCGTGCCCACAAAAATCACCCTTGTAGACTACAGACCAACCTCCGGCTCCCAGAATCTCATCTCTCAAACCTCAGCATAACCGACTGATAAAACGGTGTTGGTATGTCAATATGACCCTCTGATAAATACTCTCCGAGAGACACAGGTCTGAAATTGAGTCGGCAGCAATGCTCTGAGTGGAAGCTTCCATTCTGAGGCCATTGCAAGATCTCCCTTGTTGGGGAGAAGTGTAGTGTTTACTCTAAAACTCTCAGTGGCTTATGCATGCTGACGTATCATCAATGGTCTGCAATGTTGCTGTTGGGTGTGCGATTTCACTCCCACACTGTCACGGTGTAGGCTTATTGAGATCATGTGGCAGCGCTGCACAGCAGAGTCAATTATCATCATTGGGAAGGGCCACCTGCCTTTTTTAGATCTACCACTGTGATTTAGAACTTGGCCTTTGGGCTGCAAGTTGCCACTTGGCCATTTGCATCATTACACACCTTTTTGATCCTTTTTGCATCATTACTCAGAGCCTTCGCGCGTTCCACAGGAACGGACTTATACCGCCACACATCGATGGTCTCCAGCAGCATATTAGCCAGGCAAAGCAGTGACACACCTATGAAAATATGTATAGACTAAGCATGGCTAAGCTACCTGGATCAAAACATACGAGGCCTCTTTGAAGCCGGCATTGGGGGCCGTGGGACTTCACGGCACTTCTTTGCAAAGGATATGATCAGCGCAGAATAATCCGTGTCTTGTCTTTGCGGTGAAAACCTTTCCAGCACCTCTGCTTGAACATTGGGTGGTGCATTCTTCAGAAAGTCAAAGGCACGATCATCCATTGGATATTTCTGCCGGAAACCATCGAGCGCGTAGTTGTTGGCATTGCCTCCTAAAGTCGGTCGTGGTGGACGCGGTAGCTCATGGGCATAGACCGGAATAGGCTGAGTGTGCTGCACCCGTGGCGGTTGCACAGGCCATTGAGGTACTGGATTCGGACCCGGGGTTGGAATGTGTGGTGTCATCCGGCTGTGTTGGCTTTGATCCTTCACTTTCTTGGCAAAGCTGATCAGCAAAGCAGAATAGTCTGGTTCACCCTCTCGAGGGGGCTTGAAGCTGCGCAAAACCTGTATGCGAACCTCTGCAGACGCCCTCTGCCTCAGCAAACCACACCCCTACTCTCACAAACAGAAGTAGCATCATCTCAGGTCTCTGTACAATGACACCACCGTAGACCCCAAACAGTTTGTGTTTTTCAATATCGGAACACTCTGCAACTAGAGCTTGCGACGTCCAGAGCTGGGAGACAAAGGATTGCAAGGCAGAGGCGGCCACAGCAGTCCAGAGCTGGGAGACAAATGTAGACACAGGGAGACAACTGTAAAGGATTGCAAGCGACATGCAGCCCAGAGCTGGGTGACAAATAAAGGATTGCCAGGCAGAGGCGGAAACAGCAGTCTAGAGCTGGGAGACAAATGCAAAGGCTTGCGAGGACACATGTAAAGGATTGCAAGGCAAAAGGCGAAAAAAACACAGCAGTCAGAGCTGGGAGACAAATGTAAAATTAAGGATTGCAAGGCAGAGGGGACACAGCAGCCCAGCGCTGCGAGACAAATGTAAAGGATTGCAAGGCAGAGGCGGACACAGCAGCCCAGAGCTGGGAGACAAATGTAGAGGATTGCAAGGCAGAGGCGGACACAGCAGTCCAGAGCTGGGAGACACATGTAGACACAGGGAGACAAATGACAATGATGTAAAGGATTGCAAGCGACACGCAGCCCAGATGGGAGACAAATGTAATATTGCAGGGGAGAGCAGCTGGGAGACAAATGTGAGGGGTTGCAAGCGAGAGGGGGAGAGAGGAGGGAAATGTAAAGGAAAGAAGGAAGACAAGGCGGACACAACAAGAAGGGGGGACAACAAGGGAGACAAGAAGGGAGACAAAAGGAAACAGAAGAGAGACAAGACGGACACAGTGCGCAACAAGAAGGGAGACAAGACCGGAGACAAAGGGAGACAGAAGGGAGACAAGGCGGACACAATGACCAACAAGAAGGGAGACAAGAAGGGAGAAGAAAGGAAACAGAACGGAGACAAGACTGACACAATGACCAACAAGAAGGGAGACAAGACCGGAGACAAAGGGAGACAAGAAGGGAGACAAGGTGGACACAAGGACCAACAAGAAGGGAGACAAAAGGAAACAGAAGGGAGACAAGACGGACACAGTGACCAACAACAAGGGGGACAGGACCAGAAACAAAAAGAAACAGAAGGAAGACAAGGCGGACACAATGACCAACAAGGAGGGAGACAAAAGGAAACAGAAGGGAGACAAGACTGGAGGCAAAGGGAGACATGCGGACACAATGAAGGGAGACAAGAAGGCGGACGGACACAATGACCAACAAAAAGGGAAACAAGAAGGGAGACAAAAGGAAACAGAAGGCACAGTGCCCACAAGAAGGGAGACAAGACCGGAGACAAAGGGAGGCAGAAGGGACGAGGCGGACACAATGACCAACAAGAGGGAGACAAAAAAGGAGACAAGAAGGGAGACAAGACGGACACAATGGTGAACAAGAAGGGAGACAAGAAGGGAAACAAAAGGAAACAAAAGGAAACAGAAGGGAGACAAGACGGACACAATGACCCACAAGAAGGGACCAACAAGAAGGGAGACAAGAAGGGAGACAAAAGGAAACAGAAGGGGGAACAGGCAGACACAGTGACCAACAAGAAGGGGGACACCGTGACCAACAACAAGGGAGAGCAAGGGAAACAAAAGGCAGACCAGGGACACAGTGAGCCGGACGGAAGGCGGACACGCTGTCCGGCAGCAAGGTGGACACTCTTAGAAAGCATTTAGAACCCCTAACGGTAGCCTTTTTTGGGGAAGTACAGAAATCACCTGGGAGACAAATGAATAGAAATGCTGGAAAGGGGAAAAGGGCGGATGCCAGCAGTGCAGGCACCGAACCTGGAAAACAAAAGTAAACAAACCACATGGGAAACAAACTAATAGAAATGCTGCATGGCCAGCGGAAAAGGGCGGACACAAGCAGTGCAGGCACCGAACCTGGGAGACAAAAGTAAAGAAATCATTCTAAAGACAAACGAATTGAATGCTGCATGGCCAGCACAAATGGGCGGACACCAGCAGTGACAGAAAGGGCGACACATCTTAAGAAAGAACCCTACGTAACGGCAAACTGCTTGGGGAATGAATAGAAATGTTGCATCGCCAGTGGAAAAGGGCGGACACCAGCAGTGACACATCTCGGAGACAAATGAACAGCAATGCTACATGGCCAATGGAAAAGGGCGGACACCAGCAGCGACAGACCTGGGAGACAAATGAATAGAGATGCTACATGGGTGAGCGGAAAAGGGCGGACGCCAGCAGTGACAGACCTGGGAGACAGATGAATAGAAATGGGCGGACACCACCAGTGACAGCGGACACCAGCAGCGACAGACCTGGGAGACAAACGAATAGAAATGCTACGAAAGACCTGGGAGACAAATGAATAGAAATGCTACATGGCCAATGGAAAAGGGCGGACACCAGCAGTGACAGACCTGGGAGACAAATGAAT